ATAACAAATCGAAGGACTCTTTCTATACAAAACAAATAATAATACGTAACGGACAGTGTAAGAGTCAACACATTTCTTTGAAATTAACAAAAATATATTATAATTAACAGAGGTAAAATTACATAATGCAAAAATTAGAATCGAAATTACGAAAATGATTACAAGTTACAAATTTCGGCTACCGGATTGAGTCCTCTTCAGACATTAACATAACGAAAAAATCGCAGAATAAAATCAATTATCGCAAATGATCGCAATGTCTGTGCTGATCCGCACTACTGAACGTACATAATAATCGACACGTAATGTCTGTCTTACACATCTGCGTTCCTTCTTTCCGTATATATTTCAAAAGTTTTTTATTCCTTTTTGGACACGCTTTGAATTTTTTATACATGATTTCTGAACTTTGCCAAGATATTTTTAATACATTTGACGGTTTAATCGTACGGAAATAATGTTGAACTCGACATCAAGACTCACCCGAACTATGAATGTTCTGAATATGCGATCGTTTGCGATAATTGATTTTATTCTGCGATTTTTTCGTTATGTTAATGTCTGAAGAGGACTCAATCCGGTAGCCGAAACTTGTAACTTGTAATCATTTTCGTAATTTCGATTCTAATTTTTGCATTATGTAATTTTACCTCTGTTAATTATAATATATTTTTGTTAATTTCAAAGAAATGTGTTGACTCTTACACTGTCCGTTACGTATTATTATTTGTTTTGTATAGAAAGAGTCCTTCGATTTGTTATTAATTTATATTTTCTAATATAGTATAGAGGAATCTCTGTGTGTCATCAATATTTTAATACTTAAGATAAATTAGATAAATGCTTGGACGTAAATAATTTAGATATTTAGATATTGTTCCATTGTTTCTTATTTATTTGTTTATACAGGATGTCTTACAATTACTGTACGATATTTGTGTGTGAATTGCATATTCTGGAGATAAAGTAAAAAATTCTGATATGAAAATACAAAAGTTTTGAATTATTATTAATCAATACAAGATAACGTGTAAAATTCGCGCTTAATTAAGAACAATAGTTATATAAATACGCTCATCAGTCTGTCATCAACATAACACGTGTCAGTGTAACAATGGACGTCAGCGTACAATTCTATGTGATATTCTGGATATATCTGATCAGTTATAATTCAGGAACTATTAGGTCTGTTCGATTTTCTTACACTTTTTACACTCAGCATTTTCGCTTTCTCTCTTTTCAGCGTTAAATATATATATCTCATTTTTAAGGAGAAAAAAATGTAAAAAAAGTGTAAGCAAGTCGAACAGATCAATTGCGATCTCAACATTTTCGTATTAGGATCTTTTATTCTATTGATAATGATCTGATTAAAAGTCGAAATCCTGTTTATTGTTTAAATTGTACTGCGTTCAAAATTTACTTTGCCTTCATGATATGCCATTAAAGTACAGTAATTGTGAGACACCCTGTATATTATGTTCCTCTAATTTTTAAACTTGTGTTCTCCTAATGTGCTAATTTACAACTGACTTTTTTAATAGATAAGGTCAGCGTATAAATCCATATTTTTAACGAAATGTAAATTACGCGGAATATTTTTCCACGGCTGCGCTCGACTTCGCATATAAGCGATGGGTATAAAACTGAGGCCTCCAACATATTCTCCAATTTTAACGTTGCCTTTCCTATTAATCATATTTTTGCTCAATGTCAAGAATACATCCTATCGAAGTGATATCTCGCGATATATCGGGGAAAAAGTCTCTTCATATTTTTTAATTTAAAATTATATATACAATATATCTTCGTTAAAAATGAACGAAATTTAAATTTAAAAAAAGGTTTTAAAGCTCTTGAAATCTCTACTTTCGAAAGGTTACTATATTTTTTGAGTTTCTGTGAGTTTGGTAATTTTTACATTTAAAAAACTATGACCTGAAAAAGATGAAAAATTTTCTTTTTACTTTGGGGATCTTTCACGTGCCAAAAAAACATTTACGAAAATGTTCGACTATCTGTCGTGAAAACTTGAAACTTTCCCTAAAAAATCATTTTTCAAAAATGTTCCTATGATTTTTTTGTTCTTGAGTTATTAGCGAGTTAAGTAAAGGAGCATTCTGACTTTGATTGCTCATAACTCCGATAAAAATCATCATACTACAATTTGAAAAACAGTTTCTTAAAGCTAAAACTTTGCTCCAGTGAATGATATAATTGTAAAATTTCGCAATCAATGAAAAATTTTTGCAAAAAAATTTTTTTAAATACGAAGAAACTTTTTTTCTGATCCAATATAGTTTTTCACAGCTTCTTTTCTCGTATAAATCTAGGTATTGTGCTTATCTTATCTTTCATGCTCGGAGAATAAAGTGCAATCTTGATGTAAAAGTGCATATCATCCTCAGTTATTCGCACTTCACAATTAGAGCCTCAATTAGCGATTATTTCCCCCTCCCTTCCTCCTCGTCCTTCGCTTTCAATACTTGGCGTTTCACCATGACAACCTCGCATTCTATCACCGAGCCCATCCCTCTTCCATCCCTCTCGCCCTCCTTTCGTTCGCGCTTGTTCAGTTTACATTTGATGTAACTGCTGCGAGCGTCCCAACAACGTGTCGCTACTATATATGGTTCCTTTTTTTTTTTTTGGAGACTCGTATTCGGAGGGGATTCTATTCCGCCTTAGAGTGGCGAGTCGTCGCCCTTGACGGGTCGCTCGCTCCGGTTTACAATTATTTTATAACATTATTGCTACCGTTTTGCGAACGCCAATTCAGTTAACAGCTCTTTTGCATCACCTTGTCGTCGTTTTTGCCAAATTTGTTGCAGACGCTTGGCAAGATACGCTGCAGCTTTTCTCAAATTTGGCCGACTGGGCTAATTTGTCCCTTACCTTTTGCAGCTCCTTCTCGATCTCCAGCGCCCTGATGAGCAGCGGCCCGCGCACCGCGTACTCCATTTTGCGCAGGTTCACGAAGACGTTGTCCTCGGTGAGGACCTTGCCGCGCGGGCTCGCCGCCGCTGCCGCCGTTGCTGCGCTCGATGCCATGCCGCGACACGGAATAACCGGCTGGAGTAGCATCGGTGCGGAGGACACCAGCGGCGCGTCCACCATCCCTACCCCTCGGCCAATCAGCGCCCCGCCGCCGCTGCCGGCACTCTGTCTCGCCGCTGACGTCGCCGCCGCCGTCGACGATGCCGTCACCGACATCGTCTTCGTCGGCCAGCCGCCGGCGATCATCGCGTTCCTTAGATGCGACATGTTTAGTTACCCTGCTTCTCCTTCTCCTCCACTTCCTTACCCTTTTGACCCTTTCTCTCTTTTCCTCCGACGAAAGGGAACTTGCGGCGCCGCTCTCTTTCTCTCTCTCTCTCTCTCTCTTTTTCTCTTTCGTTTATCACTCGCTGATTAATCAGCGTCCGGT